TCACTGTGGGTATGACCTGGAAGGTACATCTCCCTCCCTGAATCCTGCCTTCCCTGTCTGTTTCCTGGCCACCACAACATGAGCAACTCTCTTGCCATTCCTATTCAACATGCCATCTCTGCCTTGGAGCCAGCAGACTATGGACAGAAACATCTAAAAACCAAGAGCCAAAATAAACCTCTCTTTCTTTAAGTTGTGGTATATTGTCCCATCTAATCAAGATTGTTTCTTATTAGTGTATGTATAAGGGCCAAGGATGTAGGCCATTGGCACAGCGCATGCCTGGCAAGTGCGAGGTCCTGAGTTCAATCCCCCAGTACAAAAATAAATAATAAAATGAGCATTTAGTGTATGTATAGAGGGATCTCTCTTTTAACAGAGGAATAATAGTAATATTGTGTTGTATCCTCTGTTGATGGACATTGATCTTTCTTTTGGTATTACAAACAATGGGGCAGTCAGTAAGTTTCCTGACATCAGCATCTGGGACAAAACTTTTTTTTTTTGGTGGTACTGGGAATTGAATCTCTGGCCTTTACACTAAACATCTCCAGCCATTTTATTTATTTTTAAATTTCAGGCTGCATCTCCCTCACTAAGAGACTGTGTTGCCCAGACTGGGCTCAAACTTGTAATCCTCCTGCCTTACCTCCCAGAGTGCTGGGATTACGAGTACACATCACCACACCTAGCCAGATGAGTCTTTGTTGTGGAGCTGTCCTGTGCCTTATGGGATGTTTAGCATTATCCTAACCCTGTAGGCACTGTACACTAATAGCATTGCCATTACTAGTTGTGACAACTAAAAATATTGGCAGAAATTGCCCCAGGTCAAAAGCACTGCTTTAGTATATCCTTAGGATAAATTTCTGTCAATGGAATTGCTGAATCTCAGGTCATATGTATTTAAATTTCTTTTATGGCTTTGCTAAATTGTTCTCCATAGAGGTTGTACCATATTACACAGCAACCTGGAGTATTTGAGGATATTTTATCATTCTCACCAATACAGTGGCTTACCTAATTTTTTTGTAGTTTTTTTTTTAATTAAGTTTATTGGTACATTTTAAGTATACAGTATGATGACATTCATCATTGGGGATTTGTACCTTTACATGATATATCTTGGTTTGCCATGTAGTTTTCATATTTTTGTTTTACAGCTAACTTTTTTATTCATCACTTACTATTTCTAGGTATGTTGTAAATTTTGACTTGTGGATTTTGTGTTTTGTGACCTACTATGAAATGCTTTTCTCTCTAAGCCATCTTAAACTTTGGCGCCCAGACCTGAAGACAGTCCTCTGAATTTCTTTTTGTCCTAATAAAATGATAAGATGTACCATCTGTTATGTGAAAGGCACTGTACTTGGTGTACTTTAAAACTGCATGTATCCCTGTGTGGCCTAAGCATGTCTTTTTGATAAAATGGCCCTTTTAGAAACTTTTTTGAGTTGGCATCCGGCATTTCTCTGGACATACATATTCTAACACTCATGGTCTTCTGAGTTAGAATATGTCATAGAGGAACAGTAGCTGAAAAATTTTTGGTTCTGTAGTTGGGAGTGGTAATAGTCTTTGCCATGTACCTTATGACTTATGACTGGATCAGAACTAGTGTAGAGGCCCTGATTTAAATTAAGTTGCTCTTATTTTCTCCTTCAGGATTCCTTTTCCTGTTAACAATCAGAAGTCCTTGAAATGATTTTTCTTTTTTTTTTGGTACAAGGAATTGAACTCAGGACCTTGTGTTTTCCAGGCAGGTGTGGTACTGGTGAGCTATATCCCTGGCCCCTTGAAATGATTTTATGTATCCATGTTTACTTGATTCTTCTGGGTAGGCATGTTTTACCGCTAAATATCTAAACCCTAACATAGCGTCTGGCTCATACCGATGGCCTGATGAATAGCTGTTGAATTAATGACCCGGTCACTCCCAGAACAGAGGCCTTTTGGAGGCCTGAAGGCTCAGCCTTGCCAGTTAGTAGATTGGAGAGCTTAGTTGGCTTAGCAATGGGCTCTGAAACTTTGCCAGGATGAAGCCATCTTCCTTCCTGGCAGGCTCAGAACTGGTTGGTTTTTCTCTGAAGCAGGAATTCTTGAGGGAACTTTGGGCCATATGAATCAGTGGGTTTGGCAGGAACCCAGGTGTTGGGGGTTCCCCACAGACAAGTAAATCTCCCTTTGAATTAATGGCCACCCTACCTCACACTGTTAAGAGGTCCTGGTTACAATTACTTGAGGCACAGTGAAATCCTCCCCTAAGTGAGTGGTTATTCAGAAATTGTGGTTTGATCATGTTCTGATGTGAGCAGTTTTTTGGTGTTTTTAGAGATCAAAGTCTTTATTGAGGAGGCCGTCAGACACCAGCTACCTCTGGCTTTGATGATTTTCCTACATCACCGAAAATATTTGGACACTTATTTGATAACTGTAATGTGCATGTTGTTTCCTTTACTTCTAAGAATTTAGGTGAGGATTAGTATTGGCTCAGTAACTTGTTTGGTTAGTCAGATGTTCCCTGTTTGGGAGAGTTCAGGGGGTGGGGCAGGACCAGGGGAGAAGTGACTACTTCTAAGGGAGGAAAGAGCAACTAGGTCATGTGTCAAATAGTAAATATTTTAGGTTTTGCAGGCCATGGTCTCTTTCACACATATTCCTTTGTTTTTCACATCTCTTTAAAGACGTAAAAACCAGCTTGGAGTGCAGCTCAGTGATAGAGCTCTTGCTGGCATGTCCAAGGCTCTGGGTTCAATCCCCTGTACCACAAAAAAAGCAAGCCCCAATGATGCCTAGCTTGGAAGCCTTATAAAACAGGCCATCGTGAGGGTTGGCCCACACACAGGTTGAGGTTTGCCAACCCTTGAACTCGGTGAAGAAATTAGCCTATTGCTACATGTGTTTAATGTTTTGGGGACACGAACCCAGAGTAACCCTGGGAATTCTCAGTTGATTATGATCCAGAAAAGTGGTCAAAACTCGTTTGTGGGGTCACAAGGGCCTTTGTGACAGTCACGTTGGATTTATGAAATTCGAGGTGACCTTGGCCAGTAGGACAGAGGATTCTTGCTGCATCTCTCCCATGGAAGTGCTGGCCAAGGGGAGCAGGGGCCTGAAATGGGTGAGTGGAGTGAAGGTGTGGTCCTAGGAGGTAGCAGGGACCTGGACAGACATAAAGAATATGAAGTCACAGATTCCTCTGTTGCTTTGGGATGTAGTTAGAATCTGGTATGTACTGTGAGTTTGGCCAGTTTATAAAAATGAAAGAGTACATCTGTACCTTGAATTCTGAGAACCCTGCATTCCAGTATGCCTGAATCCAGATTTGCCTTATGGTTTTTCTCTCATCATAAGAAGCTCTGCAGAGCAAGCCTGGCGCGAGGGAAGTATTGATTTATTTCAAGGTACTTTGGGAGACAGGAAAGTGTAGTGGTTAATAACCATGGGCTGAGAGACAGGCACTTGTCCTAAGTCCTGCTGTGCCACTTAATCACTGTGTGACCCTGGGAAATTTACTTCAGCCTCAGTACACTTACCTATAAATGGCAGTGATAATAGTTAACTCGGCCAGAGTTGTGTTATTAGCTTAGTGTCGGTTGTATGTTAAGCATTCAGCAAATGTTAGCAATAATAACGATAATATGATAGTGGAAGAAGATGGAAGAGGTGGGGAGGAACTAGTATTTGTGATTCAGTGCCACGGAAATATCATATCCTGGTTGAGCATTTGACCACTAGCTGGGTGGGAGTGTGTTGGGGGCAATGCAGAACTCTGTTGCAGAGATCGCTACCTGTGTCTGCACCTCTTCATTTCCTGATTTGGAAGGTGAAGATACTACAGGTTGGCATGTTGGAGTCAATCAAATGAGGTAACATGTTTGAGTTTATAAAGCATCAGATAAAAATTTAAGATAAAAACAGTATCTATCTATTCATTGGGACAGAGCCAGGAGGTGAATCATATGAGCCAGAATGTTTTACTAGGATCTGGGTGGTCAAGTATTTGCCTAGCATATGTAAGCCCCTGGATTTGATCCCCAGGACTGACTGTAGGGGAAAAGCCAGAGTCTAGACAAGATGCACCCAAATTCAAGACTTGTGTTAGTAAGTTGTGGTTTGAAATGAATACTACAAAATTGGAATGCCAGTTCCATTGGTATGCCTTCTTGAATAGCTGATATGGGAAGATAGGCTAAAGAGGCCTTATCTCTGTGGAGGAAATATGGTCATATCTTGCATAATTAAAAATGTTTATTTCCTTTTCTCCTGAAATCCCATTTTTAAGAATTTATCCTGGAAATGTATTTGCCATGTGTATTTTTATACTAAATTATATATGCACATGCTTATTCCCTACATTATAATGACAAGAAAGTGGAACTGGCAGTGTCTAGCCTTAGGAGACTGGTTACCTCCTAAGTCCTGGTACATTCTAATGGCTAAACACTGAACCTTCAGAGTGCAGGAGCTGTGAGTGTGCTGATGGAACTCTCTTCCAAGATTGATTAAGCTGAAGCAGCAAAATTATTCTCAAGGTGAAGAACAACATGGATTGTATGCCATCCTTGTTGTTGCCAGGGTGATGGGAGGGAGGGAGGGACAGCTGCGATTTCCTTGTCTAAGCAGAGATTATTTGGGAAAGGTTATGAAGCTGATAATATGGTTGCATCTGTGGAGAAAAACTCTTGAGTAACTTGAGGACAGGTAGGAGGGAGATTTGTGTTTCATAGATTGACCTTTCTTTCCTTTGAAATATGTCTTATAGGCACACATTCTGTTTGTTCAGAAAGTCTGTGACCACAGTTCCTGTCAGTGGAGTTGAAAACTGTGAAGCAGTGTGTGTTTCCTCCCACACCTGTGTCGTCCCTTTGACCTTGTCGGCTTGAGAAGCTGGCCTGACCATAGGCTCACCCTGAAACAACCCTCCCCTCCCACACACTAAGCACGTTGCCATTTGTCTTGATTCGTGTGACTGACAGTGTTTCTCTTTCCACCCCCAGCTCTGGCAGCATGTAAACAACTTTTTGCCAAGAACCCAGGTTACCACTGAGAAGAGGGCCTTAAGGGAGAAGAATATCAGGAGGATACCAATGCCAGGCACGTCTGGAATTATGCTCACTGCAAGCAGCATGCAGCACTCCGGGCCAGCCTCTGTGTCCTGCTGGCGAAAGCTGGGGCTCTCCAGGTAGGAGGGTCCTGGTACAGCAGCACCAGGAGCCTCTCGGTGAAGAATGGGGCCAGATACGAACTCTACAGTGAGCATAGTTTTCAGCTTATGAAGGAATTTTAAGAGAACAACTATTTAATTTCCACATAATCACATTCAGAAGCCTTCTGCGTGATTGCCGGCAGTCACCCCCTCTACAGAGTCATCAGGATTTTTCTGGCACCAAAGTCAACTCTTCTCGGTACTTGTGGCAATACAGATCTGCTGGGCAGACTCATTTGCTGAACGTTCAGAGGCAGGAAAAGAGTAAAACCTCTGGAAGCAGCATCAGGGTAGCAGAACAGAAATACCCTCCTGCGCCTCCGACTTGCACAGAAACTTGGCCTGGGCTTGGATCCTGTTAACTGAAGACTTCTACAGTGTTCGCTGCAAAGTCCATCTGTCCTGGGGAGATCTGGCATTTTGAGACTGCCTCTCTTGGCCCTTTTCTACTGTCGTTCTACCCCCATGCCTTCTATGCAAGCAGTTGATTGATGTGAACTTAAGGATGGAGTTTGGTACCCTTGGGGAACTGACTTCCTTTCCTCGGCTTGTGCTGTTGGAAAGGGCCACCTGAAGGCTGTGTTTGTGTGTGGGAAGGAAGGCATTGCCTGGCTGGGATCCTCCACCATGTTCCTGTTGCTGCCTTTTGATAGCCTGATTGTCAACCTTCTGGGTATCTCCCTGACCGTCCTCTTCACTCTCCTGCTTGTTTTCATTATAGTCCCTGCCATTTTTGGAGTCTCCTTTGGTATTCGAAAGCTCTACATGAAAACATTGTTAAAAATCTTTGCGGTGAGTTGTGCTGCTACTGGTAGGTTGTTTTACAGACTAGTATTTTTAGTAGAGAGCTGTTCCTGTCTGGCCAATTGTTATCTCTCTATTGTTGTGGACAAAGCTGGGAGAAAGGGAAGTGACCTCTGGAGTAAAAAGAATAAGCTAAATGTGTCCTTTTGAAATCCTGTAGCAGTCTTTCTTATTGAGCTAAAGCTGCTTGTATATTTAATTCATGCTGAGCAAGGGGACCTATTCTGTGACTCCACAGCTCACCTGCTTATTTCACAGAAAGAATGGGCTTAGAATTAAAGTCACTGCCAGACTCTGCCTCTTGTGTAACAAGTAGTGGCACACTGCTGCCGCCAATGTATGTTCTTACTCATGAGCCTTTTCTTTCCTTCATGCATTTTTCTAAAGTAGGTTGTTACATTTCAGACAAAAGGAATGAGCAGAAGAGGACATTTGAGTCATTTTCTGAAAGATAGAGGAAAATAAATTTCTCAACATATTTTAGAATTTGCCTAATTGTATCATTAAACAGAATCGATTACATTATAAAGGAATTGCTGCTTTCTGGAAGTTGATCTGTGCCACAAGACTTAATATCTAGCCAGGTATTTGGTCATTTAGTTGAAATATCTCTTTTCAGTAGTCCCCAGATCTTCAGGAATTCTTTTCTGCATTTGAAACCAGTTGAGAAATCCACCTGTAATGGTGAGAATAATACAGCATTACTTTGTAGTATGACATCTTACAGTTCTATTTTGTTTTCTTGGCAGTGCTGGGGATCTGATACCCATAGCTTTCTCTTTCTAGGCAAGTGCTCTACCTGTCTTGGAGTTTTTAGAATAATTATTTTCACTTTCCTTTGGTTTCTTAGAATTTTGTTTGGTAGACAGGATAAATATCTACATTTTTTTCAATGAAGAAAAAGACTTAGATTAAGTGAAATATAAGAATGTTACATTACCGTGGGAAATGTTTACATCTGTGACATAGAATTGTGGGCTTTATCTTTTTGCCACTTCATATGTTGATAAGAATATTTTTTTCCACATTTAGAACAATTGAGGTGAAATTGACAGAACATAAATATTTTAAAGTAAACAGTTCTGTGCTATTCACTTTTTTCAGTGTTATGCAACCACCGCTTGTCCCATACATCGTCATCACTTCTCAGGGAGCCCTTAGTCATTCAGCAGTTGGTGCCCCCTTCAGCAGTTGGTGCCCTGTTGCATTCTGTCTGATTTATATAGAATTATATAAAAGGTTCCCTTGGTTTCTGGCTTTCAGCTAACATAACTTTTTCAGGGTGTGGGTTGGTACTGGGGATTGAACCCAAAGCCTTTGCACTGAGGTACGTACCAAGCCCTTTTTTTTAAGACAAGATCTTGCTAAGTCACTGAGTTGCCCAGGGTAGGCTCAAACTTGCAGTCCTCCTTTTTTAACTTCTTGGAGTGCTGGGATTACCAACATGTGCCACCAAGCTTGCCTTAACATTGTTAAGGCTTGTCTGTATCAGTATTTTGTGTGTGTGTTTGAATAACATTCTGTGGTGTCTGGCCATGATTTACTTACCTGTTCATCCACTGATGTGCATTGGTGGGCTGATTCCACCTTCTGGCTGGTTGTGAATAGTGCTGCTAGGGAACTGTGTGTGACCATATTTGTTTTACTACCTATTTTCAAGAGTGTAATTTTTGAACACTATTTATGATGGCCCTGGATTTATGGGTATCTAGTCTTCCCTCCTCAGTAAACTGGAGATCAGCAGCACAGGTATTACCTAGGAGCTGGATGAAAATGAAGATCTCAGACCCCCTATAGACCTACTGAAGTAGAATTTGCATTTTAACAACATGCAGGTGATTCCTTTACAAATTAAAATCTGAGTAGTTGGTCTTTTATCTGGCTATTATACTAATACAGTATTTATTTTAATTAAGAAAAGTGATTTCTGTATTTCAGTTGAAGAGAATCTTTAATAGTACACAGAATCCCTGAGGATAATATAACTTAATACCCATACCCTCCTATACCAGGACAAAATTAGAGGAAAAACTGTCAGATTTTTAGGAGACAACAAAAATGATGTCTGGCTTTCATTCAAGTTTATACAAGGGATTAATTCATGAACCTATAGACTTTTTTTTTTTTTTGAGACAGGGTCTCACTATGTAGTTTAGGGTGGGCTTGAATTCAATATGTAGCCCAGGCTGCCTTGGAACTCTGCAATCCTCCTCCCTCAGCCTCCCAAGTGCTGGGATTACAGATGTGTGCCACCATACCCAGTGGAAATTGTCATTTTTAAAACATAATAAATAAGGATTATAGGCCTAGGATTCTATAGTATTTTAACATTTCACTTGGATGACATTGAGCAAGACAGAAAATCTAGAATTCATTTTTATATTCCTTACTCCATTTAAAAAATGTTTCTCCAAAATTAATATTTTAAAGCTAATAGCCAGATAACTTCCTTGTGACCATATTTTTTTAATGTGTGTATTTGTGACTTTTACTATGGATTGCTATGGAAAGTTCATTAAATATTTACTGTTGGGCCAGTCTGTGGGGCATGTAATCTTAATTCATCAGAGAGCACTTGCAGATCTTGAAAATCACTGGTTTGGGTCACAGTGATTTAGAAGTGGTAGTACAGGGCCGAGGATATACCTCAGTGGTGCTGCCGCCTGTCTCGCAAGCGCAAGGTCCTGAGTTCAATCCGCAGTACCAGAAAAAAAAAAGGAAGAAGTGGTAGTGGAAGTTGCAAGTGTATTTGTAATTTCAAGATTAAAAATTTCAATAAATAGGGGATAGAGATGTGGCTCAGTAGTAGAGTGTGTGCCTCGCATGCACTAGGCCCTGGCTTCAGTCGCCAACAACACAAAAAAGTTTTCAAAATATAGATTTATACCTATTTCCTAGAGTTATGTGCCAGGTACCTAAAAGCTTCGCAGCCTGTGTGTGGATCATGCAATACTGAGCTCCACAAACAGCTTCAAGGTAGCTGTATTGCTGCAGTAAGGGGTGGGCTATTGAAAGGACTAATCCATGCCAGCAAGGATATATAGGTTGCTTCTGGAAGAGGGTCAGATCTATCTAGTTTCACCTTGTATTTCTTCTCTGAGTTGATCTTAATGGACAGAAAGAACTGATTGCTACATTTATAAGTGGTAATAAAAGCTGGTACCAAGTCTAAGAAAAGTTATCTATCCTCACATCTGTGAATATATCTAAAATTTACCTATACTTGTGGGTGTTTGTGTAAACCTTTTTAAATTGGGGAATGTCTTAGTTGTTTTGGACTGCTGTAACAAACAACCACAGACTGAGTGATCTACAAAAACCAAATTTATTTCTCAAAGTTCTGGAGGCTGCTGTCCAGTTCTGGGTGCTGGCAGATGAGATTCTATGTCTGATGAGACCAGTTTCCTGGTTCATAGACGTCAGTTTTTGTGTGTCCTCACACGGTACAAGGAATGAGGGCTCCACCTCTGTGACCTTATCACTTCCCAAAGACCTCACCTCCTAATATCACACTGGGGATTCAACATAAGAATTTTGGGAGAAATAAACTTTAGTCCATAGGAAGGAGAGACCTTTATTTTACCTTTGTTAGCTTCTTCCACTTTTTCCTAAATTGGAATGATACAAATCATTTTGTACCTGGAAGAAAGCTCAGAGATTATCTTAATAATATACCTGGGGAAGCATTTGGAAAATACTGTACTTACTTTGGGGCTCTAGCATCTGCATTTAATTGGTCTAGGTGGACATTTAAAAAAATGTCCCAGATGATTCTGGCATCAGTGGTGTCTGATGATTCTAATCCCCCTTCTCCCCCCCAAGCAGACCTACTTAGTGGTTTGTTTCTATTGAATAGGATGTGGTGGGCATGAGGCTATGTGACATGTGAGATTAGGTTAGAAAAGGCAGTATAACTTCTGCCTGGCTCTTTTGACTGCTTGTTCCTGAGCCCAGCCACTGTGACACGAGGAAGCCAGGCTGTATGTGGGTGTTACAGCTCACTGCCCCAGGAAGGTTTGCATCAGCCAGCATCAGATGCCCACATTGGAGTGAGCAGGCTTCCAAGGATTCCAGCCCCTCGTCTTTCATCCACCCAGCTGTGTGCAGACTGCAGGTCCATGAGCAAAATAAGTAGTGGTGGTGTTTTAAGCTACTGAGTATTGATGTAGTTTGTTATATGGTAATAGTGACCAAAATATATATTAGAGAATTTTAAACATTCATTATTGTTTTATAGCTCGTAACACCTTCGGTTTAATTATATATATATATATATATATTGGCATTTAATGTAGCAGTCTACATTCCACTTGATATTCTTCATAAAGATAATTAAAACTAGATATCTGAATCTGTGCTGTACCTATCTGTATCTCTGTTTGGCAGATCTGTGCAGTCCTGGCTTATCAGCTGGTCTCCCACACTTTCTTCTTTGTAAAGTTACCAGGAGAAAATGTTTGCATACCTGCCACAGGGGAAGGTAGGGAGAATGTGGCCAGATCAGTGCTAGCCTGTCCCTGTTCCAGAGCACTGAGCCCAGTGCAAGTCCTGAAAGTGCTGAGTCACTGAAAACTATAGTGTGCAGACAACAGCATCTTGTTTATAGTGCTTTTCATCCTTTTCTCAGTATTTTTCCTCTACTCAGTAGCAATGCTTATTTTTTAGAGTGGAATTCCTAGGAGTGGACTTTCAACTGGGTGGGAATAACTTGGAAGAAGGGAGAAAAGAAAGCTTAGATATACAGGAAAAAGATAAAAATAAATGACTTGTGTTTTCCTGCAATGAAAGGAATGGACCAGGTTGGATTAGAGATGAGACCCTTGTAGTCCCACAGTGCAGCTCCAAGGCAGATGTTGGAAGAGAGTCCTAGAAACCAGTGATGATTGAGAGGGATTTGGAGACAGGATTCCAGTGGTAGTGGGATTGTAGTGGACAGGCATGCAGTTTTTAGGTCCGGCAGCTCTTAACCTCCAATACTTTTCCTGTGGGATCTTTGAAATTTGACTTTGCTTATTGAACTTTCCGGTATGTTTTTTCATCTGGAGAGTAGGAGTGGTAATTACTGCCTCACATGGTTGTAGGAAAGAGGAGGTGTTAATCACATCCTTGAGTGGATTAAGGATAGACTGGAGGAAAGGAGGTTGATTTGTGGCAAGGAAAGTGACAGGAAGAAGTTTTAGGTTCATATCAAGTCTGTTTTCTTCCTTGGAGACTTTGATGAAGAGAAGTGTTGGGAGTTGATGAATTAAATGTAGCCCTCATTGACTGCCTGCTATGTGCAAGGCACTCATAGAGTGTGCTGGAAGGTGAATATGCAGATGGGTGGGTTCTGGCCCTACCTCCAGAGGCATTTATAGTCCTATACGAGAAACAAATGTGCATGTGGCATTAGAGCAACAGCTGATTGCAGCATGTAGGGAACATTTCTTATTAGATTTGCATTTGAATTAGATATTACAAAGGAAGAGAATAGCACATTGTAGAATTTGGTTAAAAAGTACAGTGTTGTTTAGACAGCACATAGTTTGCTAGAGCAAAAACTTTGTGTGTTAAAATATTGAACATTTCTTTAGGCACTGAAAGTTTTTGATAGGCAAATGCCATGATCAGACTTTGACAGCATTGTTAGATGAAGGCAGAGGAGAAGGGAAGGAAGGCAGTTAAATAGCTGTTGTCTCAGCCTAGGCCAGAGCATATCAGAGTGAAGAAAGGAGGTGTGAGGCAGGAGGTGTTTGTATAGGACAGTGCCACCTGAGAGGAGGATGGCTAGGGCTCAGTGGTGTGGGAGGCATAAGGGAGGGGATGCTAGCGCCAAGCCTGCAGAGGAGCCTCTACAGGTCAGGCAGGGTGTGCTCCCCTCCTCCTAGCATGCTGTGTGCCAGGGCTGCTTGCCTGTGGAATTAAGAATGGGGAGTTGGCACTTGGGTGAACCAGGAGAAAGTTGACATTACTGCCTGCATAGTACATGTGAAGCAGGGGGAGAAGAAAGCTGTTGAAGGGTAGAGTCTGCTTGGGAAATGAAGTTACTGGGTGATCAAGCCTGGTTTGTTTGTTTGGAGACAGGGTTTCACTGTAGTTCAGAGTGGCACTGAACTCACTAGGTAGCCCAGGCTGGCCTCAAACTCACGATGATCTTCCTACCTCAGCCTCCCAAATGCTGGGATTGTAGGGGTGCACCACCATGCCCAGCTTAAGCCTGGCTTTTTAAAGGTCTGGTTCTTTGGTTAAATCTAATCCATGGGGAAATGCAGTGGAAGCTAAGAAGGAAGGGGAGGTTTCTGCTGAGATTATTTTTTGCTGAGACTGTTAGTCCTTACTCTTGTGGTTATGGTAGTTCCTAAATTGTGGTCTTCAACAGAATGAATAACTAGCAAAGTGCCCTGTGGAAGAAGCATCTGCATTTCCCCTGCCAAGGTCTCTATTCAGTTTAATGTTACCTACAATAAGAGTGCAGTGTTGTTTTTTGTGTTTTGTTTTGTTTTATTTTTTTTGGTACTAGGGATCGAACTCAGGACCTTGCAGTTTTGAGGTAGGCACTGGAACCACTGAGCTAAATCCCCAGCCCTAAGAGTGCAGTGTTGCTAATGCCTTTAAATTGTTTTCTTCTCTGGGAGAAGCTGAGAAAGAAGTAATTAAGTAGTCCAATATTGAATAGCCTTGCAAATGGCAGCTCAGATCAGGGGGAAAGAGAGGATTTTTATGGTGAAATGAACTCTGAATTTAGGATTCTTAATTTTATTTCAAATATCTGAAAACTGTATTTCTTAAAGTGATAGCTCAGAGAAGCCAATTGTGTAGTCACAAGGCATTGCTGTTGTGGGCTGGTCTGTGGTATAATGTAAAACATATTTGGTCTTTATGCCCAGTTTCTGCACAGAGCTCCTTTCCCAAGAAATAGTAATGTCTTCTTCACAGTGAGCCCCTTTGAGCATGCCTGAGTTTATACTAATGAGATAACAAGGATTGTCCCCATGTAGCCTCAAGATGGGCCTTGTCACCAGAAAAGCCAAGTGATAAGAAGGCTGGAATTTTCAGCCCATCTGCCAATCTCTGGGAAGGTGATACCTGGAGTGTAAATTCTGTGGCACTCTGTAAAAACTGAAGTAAGATTTGATAAACTGGGTTCTGGGACAGTGCCGTGCCCACAAAAGGCCTGGAATCTGCGCTTCCCCACCCTGGTACCTGTCTTCCGTATCTCTTATATCTGGCTTGTCCTGAGTTGTAGCATTTATAACAAATCATAAATGTGAGTGAAATATTTGTTTCCCTGAGTTCTGCAAGACATTCTAGCAAATAATCATATCCAAAGAGGTGGTTGTGGAACAGTCAGTCATAATTAGGGATTTGTGATTGGTGGGTGGCTCATATGGAATTGTGTTATAGGACTGAACCCTTAACCTGTGGTTTCTGGGGCTATCTCCAGGCAGATAGTTTCCGAATTCAGTTGAAGGAGGATACCCATCTGGTGTCCAAGGAAGATTTACTTGGTGTGTGGGGGTATCCCTCCATATCTGGTGTCCGAAATGAGGTTTGTGAGTAGTGTGGAGAAAACAAAGTGTGCCTTCCCAGGCCTCTCCTTTGCCTTCTTTAGGGTGCGAATAATGCAGTGCACTGATCAGTCTTTCTTCAGCAGGCTGTTCCCAAGCTTGGCCAGCTGCCCCAGACCTCACCTCTTGTCCCTTACCCTTGTGACTTTGGATAATTTTTTTTTAAATGCAGAATCATTTTTTAATATCCTGACATTTGAAAACCAGAAGGCCAAAGGGAATGAGGTACAACTACTAACAGGAAGCCAAGGGATGTCTGCTGCTGCTACTGAGAAGTTCAGGAGACCCTGTCCAGTTAAATCAGCAGCTCACAGCTGCCCTCAGGTTTACATAGTGAAGCATTCCTTCGGCTTCTGGACTCATCCTCAAGAGGCTTGGTTTCAGCCGGGCGTGGTGACACATGCCTGTAATTCCAGGACTTGGGAGGCTGAAGTGGGAGAATCACTGCGAGTTTGAAGCCAGCCTGCACTACATAGTGAGTTAAAGGCCAGTTTTAAATAGAGACCCTGTCTTAAAAAAAAAAAAGGCCTGATTTCATAAGTCACTTGTCTTGCAATCTGAGGTATCTGCATTCTCAGTATGGAATCAAGTACTGCATTTCTGTTCAGAATTACTCTTGTAATACCAGTGCAGGGTCCTGGTCAAAATGTGAACCCCAAATGTTAGGTGAGTGACCTGGGCTTGTTGTAAACTGTTAGCCTTTTCACCTTGTTACTAGTTCCAGAAAAATCAGGTGGAATTTTATTTTAGAAATTATATTAACTTTTTTTTTCCTCTCTAAAAAAAAAACATCCAAGGCCAGGGATTTAGCTCAGTGGTTCCAGTGCCTGCCTCGCAAGTGCAGGGTCGCAGGTTCAATCCCCGGTACCAAAAAAAACAAAAGACAAAAAACAAAATTAAAAAGAACATCCATACAGTGACCCAAAAGATAACAACACCTGGACCTCTAAACTTTGGAAAATAGATGAGTTTTCTTGTCTTTGACCCTTCTTTGAGTGGGTGACACTGAGCCACCCTTTTTTTCTAGACAATGGCATTTGAAGAACTTTTCAGATGAGGTCATTTCCTGATTAAACTCAGGTCCTAATTTTGGCTTTGCTAGACCTCACAGAGCTGTCTTACTGATACTTCAGACTCTGCCAGCAGGCTCTACCCCAATGCCTTGATCTATGTGCATTTTGTTGTCATGGCTTGATAGGGTTCTTTCCCACCTTACATAACTGGACACAGAAGTTTGAAAAGATATCTTTCCAGATCTCTACTATTTCCTTGATTTACTGTGAATTTTTTCTTTTTTGGTGGTATGGGAATGAAACCCAGGGCTGTGTGCATGCTAGGCAAGTACTTTAGCACTGAGCTACACCTCTGCCCCTGCCTTGACTCAGTGACATAACTTTATGTTCATTGCTAACATTCCAGCGGGGAGTGAGTGAACTAGCTTGTTTTACCCCTCATCATGTGATAGTGGAAGGACCCAGCTTCTGGCTCCCGTTTACTCCAGTTTGAAGGGTTTTAATGAAGGTAGAGAGCTCCAGGGAAAACCTCTTTTTTTCTTCTGGTCTTCCAGAGTCCATGGACTTAATTTTGGTGCCTCACATTTCCAAGTTCTGTCACATACACAATATCCTTTGAACCTACAAAATAGGAGGTTGAGATACTGTCTTGTCCTGTTTTTCAGATAAAGAAACCAAGATTCTGAGATTTAGGATAAGTTGCCTAAGGATCATAGCTAGTGAATGTTCTTTTGTTTGTTTGTTTGTTTGTTTTTGGTACCGGGGATTGAACTCGGGTCCTTGCACTTGCAAGGCAGGTGGCAGAACCACTGAGCTAAATCCCTGGCCCTAGTGAATGTTAAACTTGGGAATTGAACATGGATTTTTCAAAATCTCCAAGTAGGGTATTTTCCCCCTTAGGCTTTGAAGCCAATCCCAGGTCTTTCTATATTAAAGTTGTGGGTTATTCCTATTACTATCTAGACATACATTAAGCCTTTTTTGTCTTGAAAACTAAAATGACTGCTTTCTTGGAATAATTTGGTGGTGGGCAGAGGGTGCGTCAGGTGGGCAGAGGTTGGAAGGATGTGTGGTATGATGTTGCCAGTTGCACAGAGTTCCTTAAGTGTCACAGACAGAGATTAGGGCAGTGAGAAGAAAGGCTGGAGCATCTAACTTTTTGGGCTGTGTGAGTTTCTGTCTTGGGCTCTGCTAATCCAGAGGGCTGCTTTGGGACATGCACATCCCTTTGGTAAAGGTGGCTTGACAGATTGAGACTCACAGATGGAAATGGAGGTGCTCACTGCCTGAAAAGGATCTCATTCTTGCTCCTGTGTTTTGCCATGTCCCCCTCAGTGGGCTACCTTGAGAATGGAAAGAGGAGCCAAGGAGAAGAACCACCAGCTTTACAAGCCTTACACCAATGGTAAGATTGAGTCTTGATCTTAGAATAGAAGGGTCCTTTGAAACATGTTCATTCCTTAGTGCTTTTTATTTGCATGCTGTCTTGGTCTATTTTCTGTTGCAAAGGTGGATCCCTTAGGAAAAAAAATGTTTATTATATTAGGCTCACAGTTCTGGTGAACACATTGAAGGAGCAAGCATGTGAAAAGAAAAAAAGGGAAGGTGGGGTGGGTTCCTTGGTAAGAGATCAGGGAGGGACCAGGCTTGCTCTTTTATAAAACCACCTGATCTCAGGGGAACCTGTCCACTCCTCCAGACCTATCCTACTCGAATGGCCAGTGTTTTTCCCTTCACCAGGGCAGTGTCCCTCCACTAGGCCCCACCTCTCAGAGAGCCACTGTATCTCCACCTCACTGGGGACCAGGTATTCAGCTCATGAACCTCTGGGGTACACACTCAAACCATACCCGAACCACAGCATGCACATACTCTCTGCTGCCCACACTGGTGCCTGTGCCCTGTTTCTATATGCTCTCCCCCAGCATGCTGTTTGACAGGGGCATTCTCTTTTGCAGGAATCATTGCAAAAGATCCCACTTCACTAGAAGAAGAGATCAAAGAAATTCGTCGAAGTGGTAGCAGTAAGGTTCTGGATAATACTCCAGAGTTTGAGCTTTCTGACATTTTCTACTTTTGCCGGAAAGGAATGGAGACCATTATGGATGATGAGGTGACAAAGAGATTCTCAGCAGAAGAACTGGAATCCTGGAACCTGCTGAGCAGAACCAATTACAACTTCCAGTACATCAGTCTTCGGCTAACTGTCTTGTGGGGATTAGGAGTACTGATTCGATACTGCTTCCTTCTCCCACTCAGGTGAAGACTGGGCCTGGTTGGGGCAAAAAACAGAGTTCTTCCCAAGCCCGATGCATGACCTGTCTCTCCCCCTCTCCCTTCCCCTTCCCTTTCTTCCTTTCCTTCTTCTTCTCCCTCTCCCTCTGTTATGCTTTCCCAGTTTAGAAAGGTAGTGTTTCTTTACTGGCCAGTCCATCTGACTCTTGGAAGGATGTACTGGTGATTATCCTTTCTTTAAAGGCCCTTGGAATTCTCTGCATATCAGACAGAAATAGTTGGATTTCTTGGACACCTATTACTTGTATAGATGAGCTAAACAAAAGGATAGGGAACATCATGTATGTCCAGCTACTCCTCCTGCCATAACTTTCTTCCTCAAGCTTGCCTCTCAGATACAGAGGCAATATTGAGGTCTCTTGAGTTTTCTGTGCCATGTGCTTTTCTCAGTATGTCTTGCCAGATGCTGGTACCTTCAGGCTCTGCCTCCTGTTGCTTCCCAGAGTTGCTTCACTTCTGCCAGGGTGTGATGCCAAAGGGAAGGATGTACAGCAGGGCAGGGGTGCCTGTGGACAGCATAGCCAGCATTAAGGCTTTCCTGCTGCTCTGGCTATCTCATGCTGGAGGACATGGTTGACAGCTGGGAGGCTGAGCTCACTGTCTGTTTGGAATCTGAGTGACTGCTGGTTCTGATAGACCTGCTCCCATTCTGCGTTAGCGCTCTTGTCTAGCTCTCAGGAGACTGCATCGTGGGAGGTAGTGTTCATGAGCCCTACTTAATGTTTTTTGCACACTTACTTTGTATACCTGGATTGCTTTGTCTTCTTACAGGATAGCTCTGGCGTTCACAGGGATTAGCCTTCTGGTGGTAGGCACGACCTTGGTGGGATACTTGCCAAATGGGAGGTGAGTAGAGTGCAGGTATCCATGTGACACTCAGTTCTGGAAGGGTAGCTCTTGTTGAAGGCTAGGCTGCCCCTTTGAATACTAACCCAAGCCACAGCATTTTAGGTGACTCCCAGGTAATAATGGCATCAGTGGTCAAGCCTTTTATTTTGTGACTGATCTTGGTCTATGACTGTTCTTTCTGCTCTCTGGCCCTTATATTTCCATTTTTAAAGACCAAAAGTCAGAAACCACAACATGTAGAGTCCAGGGCCCAAATGTTAACAAATTTTTATTTTTGTGTTTTTGTTTGTTTTTTGAGACAAGGGTCTTTCTGTGCATTGCAGGCTGGCCTGGAACTCACAGCAATCCTCCTCCTCAGCCTACCAAGTAGTACTGGGATTACAGGCATGCGCCCTCACGCGGGCAAGATGTTAACAGATTTTAACATGTTTAGTTTTGAGCATTCTGCTAGGTTGATAAACTGGTGAGGATAAGGAAGAGAGTAAGGTTTTTAAAAGTGATTTGGAATGTAGGTAGGCTTTGTCCTTTTTTTTAAGGAAACTGCTCCCTGGGGAAGTTCTTGAGCCAGCAGACCTCTGCTGTGCTGGGTTTGCTCAGGAGGCTGGACTCCAGCCTGGCCTGCCTAAGGACTGCCTCTGGGGTAGGAATCTAGGAATCTAGCGCCCCTGTATGGGGAGTTCTAGGGTTGCGGATTCTCAACCATTGATTTAGGTTAGCAAATATCATCACATTGTCATTTCTTTGTTTCCTCATTGTGAACATAAAAATGCTAATATATCACCATATGCACTTATATTTGTAAAAGTGTTGCAGATTGCTCAGTGGTGGGAGTTAGCAATTTGTCCTGACTTCCTTTATGTGAATCACAATCCCAAACCTGCTCCTGTCGTTGCAGGTTTAAGGAGTTCTTGAGTAAACATGTTCACCTGATGTGTTACCGCATCTGCGTGCGAGCCCTGACTGCCATCATTACCTACCACGACAGGTGAGGGGGCTTGGCATTGATGCAGCATGAGACACGGTGGCCAGAGCACCACCCACCTGCTTGGTCCAATGGGAAGGGCCAGCCGGGATTAGCTCTTGTAGATTGTATGCTCGGAGTTAGTTCCAGATGAATAAAGGTTTCACACTAATTTTTGTTGCTTACAATACATTTTACACCTAGGAAAAACAGACCAAGAAATGGCGGCCTCTGTGTGGCTAACCATACATCTCCTATTGACGTTATAATTTTAGCCAGTGACGGCTATTACGCCATGGTGAGTCTCTCTTTTCTTGAGGTAGGACTTTGTACGTTAGGGCCGGAGGCTTCTGGACCTTTCACAAAACACTTTCTTAAGGTTATAAACCTGTGGACATGATTTTACATGTGTGCCAAACACTTCTTACTGCCTTGGGGAATGCCTTGGGACTGGGCTAGGAGATGTTCTGAGCAGACTGAGAGCAAAGTGAGGCTGGAGATGGCCCTCAAGGTGCCCTGAGGACTGGAGGTGCAGGGACGGGGGAGACTTGGGCATGTGAAATCCCTTGGAGAGGGGCATCTTATTCAAGGAGTCACTCAACTTTATCATTTTGTTTTAGGTTTTCAGTTGTCATTACCTATCTGGCTCATCACTATTAAAAGAGAAATTTAGGGTTTGGGAAGGCTTAATTGTGGTTTCCTAATAGTGGGAAGTCTAGAGTTAACAGTGATATTTGAGAGCGAGACATCAGGGTGTGTATTTTGTGGGATCTGGGGGGATTTGTGGGAGGTGGCCTTACTACTCATTTTTGTTTTGTCTGAGACCAGGTGGGTCAAGTGCACGGAGGACTCATGGGTGTGATTCAGAGAGCCATGGTGAAGGCCTGCCCCCATGTCTGGTTTGAGCGGTCCGAAGTGAAAGACCGCCACCTGGTGGCTAAGAGGTAAACAGACAAGGTGCTGCTCTGTTTGCCCAGTTCCAATAAGCAGAAAACGTAGTAGTTGAGGCGTCCTTAGAATTAGAATGTTTTCTACACTGAGCCTGTACTGTTCTTGTAACACATTTTCCCCTGAAACATGGAATATAAAATAGAAACCTGAGTATTGTTTACCTGCTTACTAAATTTCATTGTACCTATTCCAGCAAATATGAACTTCCATTGCTATTAGAAATCTCAAAATAGATTCATTATCACAAACAAAAACAAATATAAGGCAGCAGAACAAAGTGCTACACTGTTCTCATTTCCAGTGTGAACAGTGGAAGGACCCTTGTAGTCTACAGAAAGACGTCAGGCTTTTATACAGACTAGGGAACCCCCACTAAATTCCCTTTCTCTCAGGGACAGAGGTTTGAGCTTGGGAGGGACCGGAGGTCTGTCCATCTGTTTTCTGTAACTATAACAATATCTGAAACTGAGTAATTTATAAAGAAAACCTGTTTGGGTTTACAGTTCTGAAGGGTAGAAAGTCTAACATTGGGCAACCACGTCTGGCAAGGCCCTTGTGCTTTGTTGTAACATAGCAGGAAAGCAGAAGGGCAAGCAGGTGTATGCAGAAGAGACAGAACACAGCCAGCTGTGGTGGTGCACACCTATTTTGCCAGCTACTCAAGAGCCTGAGAAAAGAGGATCACAAGTTTGAGCCTAGCCTGGTCAACTTAGCAAGACCCTGTCTCATAAGAGCTAGGGATATAGCTCAGTAGTAGAGTGCTTGCCTTCCATGCATAAAGCCCTTGCTTAATAACAATTCATTCCTGAGGAAACTGAAACAGTTCCATTGGAACTATCTTAATCTCTCTTAATGACCCAATCATCACTTCAAGACTGTATCCCCAGTGCCACCATAATGACTATTAAATTTCATCATGAGTTTCTGAGGGGACAAGGTCCAGCTCACAAAGGTTTATTAAGGGTGCTGTGTATGAGGTCTGATGGCAGCTGCCTCCTTTAGATAGTACCAGGTCTGAGCAGCAGTGTCCTCTTGTGTTCAGACTAACACATTCTCGATAAGGCTATCATTTCTGTGTCTCACTGCCCTGTCAGGTGGCTGTGATTTGAACATGTTACGTTTCTGCCAGCTTGAACCACCAGCGGTACATGAATGATTGTCCCATCAGGTGGCATAAGCTGCCCTGTCCCAACAGTCATGTAGGTACCACCCGTGGTTCAAGCCAGCAGGAACATGTTAGTACTGAATTGAATAATTACATGAATTAAATAGTGGCCGTCTAATTTTCTCTGCCCTTATGAATTTTTTCTTTATGAGCTTTAAGACTGCATTTCTAAAGGACACAGATTTGTTAACTTGCTTTTTATCTGTCTAAACAAGTGTCACATATGCATACTGGTAATGATGGTGAGCATGAGGTTGTCTGACCCCTAATTGTATTTTTTTGTTTTGAAGACTGACTGAACACGTCCAGGATAAAAGCAAGCTGCCTATCCTCATCTTTCCAGAAGGTAAGAGCCTTTGGGGAGGCCAGTCCCTCGGCCTTTGTTGGGGTTCTCTTTGTCTACTGGGTGTAAAACTAGTAACTCGGGAGATGGAGAACCTGGTTGAAGAGTTCATAGTGAGAGCTTCAGCAGGAGTGCCTTCTGTGGCTTTGCTGATGACAGGCCTCTCAGCTTTCTGCAGGGCTCTCCCCAGTCCTGCTGAGTCCAGCAAGGGTCCCTGGCCCTCACCTCAATCGGTGTGTGTTAGTCAGGGAAAGTGGCCTGGAAAAGGAGAAGAGGCAGAGGGACAGCATTTTGCCAATTCTCAAGTGTTCATTTGTAAGTTAGGGTGGTGACTCCTGTTTGAGGAGCCATTCAGAGTTTTTATTATTTAGGGTTGAAGAAATTCCTACTGTTTGGGGTAGAGGATCAGAAAGAAATAGCATTTTGGTCTCTCCTGTATTTTAGGTACCTGCATCAATAACACGTCAGTGATGATGTTTAAAAAGGGAAGTTTTGAAATTGGAGCCACAGTTTACCCGGTTGCTATCAAGGTACGCGGCCTCTGAGGACGCACACTCACTGTCGTCATATCATGGCTGAGGAGAATGGGGTGCAGCAGTGAGTGCGAGGGCTGCAGCCCAGCAGCAGCTGCTCCTCCCACAGAGCACCAGAGCTGGGCGCTGCGAGCCTCGGACTGGGGAGGAGAGTGCTAATGGCCGCAGCCCCGTCTGAGAGGCCTAGGCAGGATTTAGAAGAGGAATAGCCAGGTGCCCACCCACGACCAGTTTTGGAAAGTGGCACACCCCTCCTGAGCTCTGCCTTTATTCCCTCATTCTCTGTGCAGATGTGCTCCCAGTGGGTTCATTGGAGAGGAGAGGGGAGGGCAGTGAGCCTCGATGGGTCCTTTCATGGCACAATGGCGCAGACAGCCCCGCTGCCTTGGGTGTGGAGTCATCTCCCATCATGCCAGCCCATAGCATGGAGAGGGCCCTCCACGTTGCTCGCATCTGTCCCCGCCTTTCAGGACCTTGGCCTCCCCCTCCAGCTCCCTGGAGAGCAGTCAGCTGCACTGCTTCCCTCCTCCTTCTCGGCCCTTCACATCCATCTGGTTTCATTGTAGATTCATGATTCCTGAAAGAACAGCCTCACACTCGATCCTTCCAGCCATAGACTGTTGTCAGTCGGGTTAGAGTGCCTGTGCCAACGTCTCAGGCAGGGCAGGCCACACAGCGGGCACACATGGAGCGTCCTTCCCAAGGCCCGCCTGCTGCGTGCAGAGCACCCGTGGAGATGTCTGCACTGTGTGTCACCTTCCTGCACAGTTCGGGGAGTGCTTTCCTCCTGTTAGGCTGCTCTCCACCCATCAGTTTGTCAGAGCCCTGGGTCATAGATAACAGGCAAGAATTGACGGCAGGCTGACAGCCACTGGATGAAGGCTGCCCGAGCTGTGGGGATGGTGTGTCGGGGCAGAGGGGACACTGGCAGGGCTGCGGGGCTGTACTTGTGGGGAGTGGCATGTGCGTCCTCCAAATGCCATCTCCCCTTCTCGTGTGGTGCAGGTCAGGTATTCACCGCAGGTGGTAGTCACCTTGTTGCTAGGATGGAATACCTGATGTACACAAAGGAGGGGAGGTTTCTCTTGGCTCATAGTCCGTGGTTGGCTGGCATGAAGACAGAAACATGATGATGGAAGGCTGCTCACCTGATGGAAGCCAGGAAGCAGAGTGAGACCAAGAGCCAGAGAGGAAGGGCCAGGTACAAGAATACCTCCCCCTGGTCACGCTCACCATGGCTGCTTCCTCCAGCCAGGCCCACCTCATCAGAGCACATTCAGCTCCCATGCTCTTCCCTTTTCAAAGGCCCCTCTGCACCCGTGAGCCTTGGCCAAACCATAACTCTGCACAGGTGTGCTGAGCTGCTAGAGGGCAGCCCTCTGTGCCTGCACCAGCCTGCCAGTGTCCCCATTTTCACTGTAGCTAGTCAGGGCAACCCTCGATGTGGGCGTGATTCCTACCCACTGTTGGAACATGGACCCTGCAGGGGGGTCCCCTCCAAAGTAAAAGGCCTATAAAATTCACATCAATTTTCATTCGGATAGAGCTCACGCCCTATAGATGCTTTTCTAATTTGGGGAAACCCTCACTGGTAACTGCACTTGGCTAGCCTTAGTAACAGCCTACTACATCTCCATCAAACTTAAGTCATTGTCAGATTTTGAGGAACATATTGTTATTTTGAGTATTTGCCTTGTTTTTATGTATAGTGTCTGCTCTGTGTAAAAGGCAGTATTAACCCTAAACAAATGATCCTCACAGCACCAAAATTTCTATTCATATCATGCTTTATAAAATATAGCACCACTTTCTTTTTATTTTATTAAGAAAGGATCTTACCCAAGGTAGCCTCAGCCTCCTGGGTAGCTGGGCTCTAGGCATGCATCTCTTTGTAATTGTACAGTTGGCTTAGTTTAAAACACTTTTCTCTTACTTATTTTTGGTATTATAAATTCATTAAGCCCCTACAATTAAATCTAAATTTTTTGTGTTTTTTTTTGTTTGTTTTGGTGTTGGGGATTGAACCCAGTGGTTTGTGCATACTAGGCAAGCACTCTACCAGCGAGCTACACTCTCAGCCCCTCTTAGTTTCTATTATTAAATCCCATGTCTATTTCTGTAATTAAAAGCCATAATCCCAACATACTTACCCACATTTTATTTTGAGAATCATAAAACTTAGGCCAGAAAAGCCTAAGAGATGACACAGTTGAGATCCAACCTCACCCCAACCTGAAGTGCAAGATTCTGCACAGCACCTTCCCTACCTGCTGTTCACTCTTTTGCTGGGAAAGACATTTCCTACATATGAGGGATAAATCTCAAAATTCTGTGTCTGATCTTTCTAAGTCCTTGCTCTGTAGTTGCACAGAGTCAATGTTTAATGCCTTGTCTGCAGTCCCCTTTCAGACAGTTAATAATAGTCCTGTGTCACTTTTAGGCAGCCCCTTGGGGTCAGGTCCTTCTGCTGCCTCTCCAACACCACATCTCCCACCAGGCTTACCTATTACTGGAATTGCTGTTTGATGAGAATGAGGGCCCCACCACATCTACAATTCCCACAAAGTGCCATTGAAATAGCCTTTGCCTCTTACTATTAGAATCATTGATGAACAAAGAAGTCTGAGGTGGCTGCTTCCTGGTTGGAAATACATTGCCTGCATGGTTGAGGCCTCATGAGCCTATTGGTGTGTGACCATTTGCAGGTGAATACTAATGACTCAAACAAAAGAGCTTCCTGCCTGAGCAGATAACTTGCTTATTAGAATGGTAAATACAGAACTATATCACAAGCTCATTGTTTCCTGCTCAGTCTGGGATACCAGAAAGTTACAAAAAGGGTTCTTAGCTGTATAAGAAAATGCCTTCACATAGGGCAGTGGTGGTGAACCGATAGCATACACACCACAGCAAGCTGTTATCACTGGAAGCTGTAAAAGGTTTCCCATCGCTGACGTAGGGGAAGGACATGACACATATTAATGAGTGGCTGACATGTCAGAGATGTAAGAGGGGAGGGGTAGATGAAGCAAGAATGGCAAGATGTTGCTATTTGTTGAGTCTGGGGAATGGGTATGTTAACCCATCCTCTCTGTTGCTGGCTATGTCTGAAAACTTCAGTAACAGTGCACGTGTCTGTGAGTGAGATGTGGGCTAACCAAAGAAGGAGGACTTTTGCTTGAGTATGGCTGTTAGGAGAGGCCTCCTTGGTGCTCTGCTGTAAGGCTGGGGCAGTCAGATTAGCATGGCTGGAGGTCAGCACCACCTGGGTGCCGGGTTGCTGCAAAAGCTCCCATTATGCTGCTGCCCCCGTGGGCCAGTCCACACACATTCAGAGCTGCCCGCTTCCCACTGTGTTGCAGTACGACCCTCAGTTCGGCGATGCCTTCTGGAACAGCAGCAAGTATGGGATGGTGACATACCTGCTGAGGATGATGACCAGCTGGGCCATCGTCTGCAGTGTCTGGTACCTGCCTCCCATGACCAGAGAGGTAGGTGCTCCAACCACAGACTTCAGTATGTGATTGCATGCATGTAAGGGTCGTGAGCCTGGGCAGAGTGATCTCGTTTTATTTATTCTTTGTTACAGAAAGATGAAGATGCCGTGCAGTTTGCCAACAGGGTGAAATCTGCCATTGCTAGGCAGGGAGGGCTGGTGGACCTGCTGTGGTGAGTACAGAGCCTGCTGTGGAGAAGAAGCTCTGGCTTTGGTGAGGGAGTGGTTTATCTCCTTTCTCCTACATCTAACTCAGAGTGCCCTGTGCTGCCTTGGCCTTGGGAAACATGGGGTCAAGCAGTTGATTGAGGAACTTCTCTGGGCTTTGTCTGCCAGGGCACCCAGAGGCTGTTCATCTGAACGTGATTGGGAAACCTCCGAGGAAAAGGGGCCTCCTCTGATCTTGGTGCATTTGGCAAAATTGGACATTCCTTAGACAAAGGGCTTTTTTTAAACTTTGTTTTGTTAAGTTTTGGTGATACTGGGGAATGAACCCAGGGTCTTTCTTTGCACCTACCTACAGCCTGGCCCTTTGTTTAGTATATGTGCTGCCAAAGCGAGCACAGCCTGGCCCTTTTTTATTCTTTGAATCAGGGTCTTGATAAGTCACTAAATTGCCCAAGCAAGCAATTTAGGCTTAAACTTGCCATCCTCCTGCCTCAGTCTTCCAGAGTGCTGGGATTACATGTGCCACTGTTCCTGATTGAAAAAACTGATTTGTTGCACTTATCTTGTTACCTCTTAGAGCAGAAGTTGACAGGTTTTTTCTCTGAGAAGTGGTAATCTTTTATGCTTTGGGGGCCCTGTGATGTACACTGCTGCTACTTATGCCCTTGGAGTAGCAGGAGAGAATGCAGGAACAGACAAGTATGGCTGTGTCCCAATAAAACTTTATTTATAAGAACAGATGCCAGGCTAGATTTGGCCCATGGGCTATAGTTTACCTCTCCTTGTCCTAGAGACTGAGATAATACACTCCATATCCCAGCAGGTGGGTAGGGATGGTGCTGGTTCACTGCTTTCCTGCACTCAGGCCCCTAGGCTAAGTGGGATGTGGGTGGATGCTCTGGCAGACACTCTGTTCTCACACCAAGCTGTACATTCCTGGATACTAGCGTGGCACTTGAACCATGGCCTTTTAAGCACATGGATGTTTACTGAGCACTTACTCTACTGGCTGCTGCTGCTGCTGCTGTTGTTGTGTGTGAGGATCTTGTGTCACCTGCATGGAAATGCCATGAGTGTGAGATTAGTTATTCTCACTTAGGTTGAGAAAATGAAACAGAAGTTTAGTCACTTTCCAGAATCACAGAGTAAGCACTGGAGCTGGGTTTTGAATCCAGGTCAGACATGCTTTTAAAGCTGGAAAGTTACCCATTTCTCCATGTCTTTGTCCCCAGGGTCTTAAAAAAAAAAAAAAAAAGCATAGCTGCTTTTAAAAACATGTCTTTCCCATGGGTCTTGAAGGGTGAAGCAGACAGAAAGCAGCCTTTGGTGTTCACAGGGCATTGAGGGTGAGATAATTCTAGAGTTTTGGCGAGGAGCTGGGGTGACAGGTGCTGGGGTGGGCCTGGGAAGGGGAAGCCCAAGTCCAGATGGTGTACATGGGGATATTGCAGAGGTCTAGGGATGGTGAGGCCAGCCTCTGAAAGCAAGCCAAGGCCTTCTAGCTTCAATTACTTCCATCCCCTGAACATAGAAGAAATGAGAACCTGCATTTCACTGGGAATGTGACCTACCCTGCACAGAGCCTTTCAGCCCCCAGCATTGCAAAAAAGAACTTGCATTTATTTCTTCTGCTGTTGGTTCTTTGCATGAATTTGAACTTTACAGATTACATTTAACAATTTTACAGATTCACTGCATCTCAGTATTTATTAACACTGGCTCCCCTCCCACCATGCTAGAATGCCTCCCTGCCATTTGCAGGGCTAAGGTGAGTATCAGAATCAGAGCAGAAAGGAAGTTAGGGTTCTCTGCGGGTGTAAGCAGAGCCCGTGGTGGCCCATCCTGATGCAGGGCTGCAGAGCCAGTTATACTTGTTTTGGCCCTGTCTTTCTTGATCTTTGAGAGGTGCAGTTGATGCATCTGCCATGATGCAAGGTGGCTGGGAGCCTTCTCTGCTCTTACATGGCCTTTCTCTCCTAAGGGATGGCGGACTGAAGAGGGAGAAGGTAAAGGACACATTTAAGGAGGAGCAGCAGAAGCTGTACAGCAAGATGATTGTGGGGAACCATGAGGACCGGAGCCGCTCCTGAGCCCAAGGGCACGCTGGTGGGAACCACCTGCCCAAATCCTGGCATTTGAGCCAGCTGGAGCTGTTGCCTCTGCTGCCACCACTACTCCTGCTCCCACCTCCTTCCAGACTCAGGCCCCGGGCTGTTCTGGATCCTAGGACCCTGGCCTTAGAGCTGCATGGGTCCCTGTGCTCGGGCCAGCTCGGCCTGTCCTCGCTGTCTGTAGCGAGTACTACTGGGTGTTGCTGCCCGGGACGAGATGCCTTCTTGTTCCTTTTATAGTACGTCCTTTGGAGGAATGCCATTAAAGTCTGCTCTCCACCTGAGCATGTCGTGTGGAGCTGAGCAGTGTGAGGTTAAGCACACTCCCTCTTAGGACGCCCCAGTCCTGGGCCTGTGTGGGGAAAGCTACCCCTCTCTGGGAGTGGCACTGCCCAGGGTCTGGCCCCGCCTTGGAGCTCCGACTTGATGAGAACTGCTGCAGTCCGTGGGGTGTTCAGCAAAAGAAGTTTGAAGTTCTTGTGTTACTCCTTGTTTGGAAGTCAGCAGGCATGATAGGAGAGGCCAGTAGGCCACCAGCTGGTCTGTGGTGAAAGCCAGGAATTATTTTGTGTTCAGACTCCAGGCTAAGCCCGAATTCCCTGTGTGACTTGCTCTTTGTTTAACTGTGCCTCAGTTTCCCCATCTGTAACACGAATCAGGCGGGGGAAGGTGGTGACTCCTACCTCACAGGGTTGTTGTGGGGACTCAGGTGCTGCGTGAGTGAAGGACATGTCATGTGCAGTGTCACAGGTCCAGGTCCAGGGAAGGTGCAGGACAAGGCCTGAGCTCAGCTGCTGCACAGGGCTCTGGACTTGTGGTTGTGAGTAATAAAACATGGCCGTAGTCCTGAGCATGTGTTTCTTCTACTTGGCTTCTGCACTGAGCCTCGTGTCACTCAGGAGCTAGGCTTCTCCCACCAGACATCTGCACGTCTCTGACATAGACAGGTATGTCTACAGACTGGAGGCGAGTGAGGTCCTGAGTCCTGGAGGTGGGGTGGGGAAGGTGTGGGGCAGTGGGATCTCTGACTGGGTCCAGGAGGCAGGGGAGTAGTGGGATCCGGGAGAGGGTTGGCACGGGAGGCCCAAGAGGTGGGTATGAGCACACAGGGTCTCCCCACAGCCAAAAGGTAAGCTGCCGGCTTCATGGGCACCTCAGAATGAAGGCAGATCCAAACTGAGACAGCTCTTATGGATCCTTGCTTTGGGGTCCACTGATTTCTGATCCTCATCGGAGTTTCCTCAGCCTAGTTTATCCTGTCTTTCCCTCCTTGGGGGCAGGCACGATACCCTTCAGGACTCCCTCCTGCCATGGGGAGTGTCACATCTCCCAGCTGCCCCCTGGCGTGAGGTGAGGGATGTGCTGGGAGTGAGGCCCAGCCTGAAGCTGCAGATCCACATCACCATCATGCTTGAGGACCTGTCCTGTCTGAACCTGGTGTCACTTGCCCGCACTGCCTACTGCCTGCCACCTCTTCACACAGCCACCCATTTCCTCTTACCTGCCCCTTTGCTAGCCAGTGGAAAACTTCTCACAAAAACACTCATGACTGTAAGAGCAGCCTCTTCTGAACTGTTTTGTGGAATGTTGAAGAATAAAAAGCAGTTTTCAGCTCTTGTAGGAGGTGATGTTTGTAGTGTTTCATTGCTAACTGGAATGATCTTTCAAAATTGGTCTTAAAGGTCTAAAGAAGTTCTAAAACTTCTATGCATGATCTGTTGTATTTCATTGTTTGCATAGATTGTTTTTGTTTTTATGTGTCTCACATTCTGCACACCCATTCCTAATTCAGGCTCATCCTACTGCTTCATCCTTTTCAACTGGGATCTTGAAGGCCCCAAATTGCCTATAAGTCAGAATATTTGGTTTGGGAGTACTGAGTTGCTAAAACCTCACAATGCTTTGAAATAAAGCAATGTGAGGTACAAGCTGTGCTCACACTTGTTTTCCAGCTGGAACAAGGATGAGCTTTGAGTAAAACCAAGAGATGATCATTGGTGGAGTGAGCACTGTCCCTTTGCTGTGTTGTTCTCTGTGTTTGTGACCTGATTCATAACTAGCCATGTAGGTTAGGTGGCCTCAGACCTTCACACCTCTGACAATTCCTAATTCTTAGAAGTCACTTTTGAATCCATTTGTTCCCCCTGAAAAATTAGACTAGTGGAACTAGACCACCAGAAGGTGCCCACTGTGTAGATGGGAGTCCCCCACCTATACCCTTATGGGTGAGTGGGGCCAGGGCCATTATTTTGGGCTGGGTGGTTTGGAGAGGTTTTTTCACTCAAACATGAAACTTTTCCCCCAGCTAGTGAGAGCAAGAATATTCTCATAAGGCTGACAGTGGAAGCTCCATGGAAGGCTGTCAGCGGTGATGAAGCCATTTGAGGTGACATCCTCGTGACAGAACCAAGTGGAACTGGATTCTTCTCTAATCAACCCCACTTAGTTGCTCCCTTTTAGAGACCTAGCAGCGGTGGGCATGAGGGCTGGTGGCCAGTGAGGAGGGTCTTCCAGCACTACTGTATTTCCCAGTGAACTTTTGCCCTGTGCTGTCTGGTTCTGTAAACCCTGCTGTTTCCATCCTAGAATCTCTGCCTGCTGAACACTGTGAGTGGCCAGACTGGATTGCTCCAGGGACACGGTGCTGTGGCCTCCGAATCCGGTGGGCAGGGCCACTGCGCGCCATCTGGGCAGGGCAGGAGCTAACCGTGTGGCCATCCATCGTCCACTGTACTCAACCCTGCTCCCCCAGTCAATACGTCTCTCTCCGATGGGAAAGTTAATAAATTTTGCTCTAGATTAAAAGTATTGATCATTTCATTTGTAAACGATAAATAAAAAGGGGGAACTTTTCATTGCACGGGGGTGGTGTCTGGTGTATCTTGCCACAAGTTCTGCTGGCTGCTGGGGGGTGGGCTTCTCATATGCATTCCGGCTGGCCAGCTGCATTGATTTCCTATTACTCTCCCAGCACCACCCAGCAACACATTTCAGTACCTGCTATTAATGGTCTTTTGATAAATAATCACTTGTAAGTCAATAAATTTTTATTAAACAGTGTGGCTCTTTGATTTATTAAAATCCGACTGTGTTTGTCTGGGAGAAAAGGGATGCTGAATTGAAGTGGAGATTTTCATACATCTTCCTGACGCCGGGCAGTCACCACACTCCAGAGAAAAACAATTGCATTTTAACAGAAACAAAACAGCCGAGTTTGGAACTTGGGCTCAGGGAAACTTCATCTCTGTCAGCATCAGTGTTGGGCTTGCTCTGCTGGGAGTAGCCTCAGACTCAGGGTACCGCCATGTCAAGGACTTTGTGTTCGGCCTGAGAGTGGTGAGGATTCCAGGTCGAACAGGTCCCATGGCATCCACAGGTCACCTTTCTCCCGAGGGAAGGGGGACTTGGGAGCAGACACCTGTGTGAGGAGCATGTGAGATCAACCCTGAGAAGGGCAACTGCGCACCCCTTAGCTGCCTTCTAACAAATCTCACCAGGGCTGCATCTCATGGCAGGAAACACCAAGATGGTGTTTGTTGTATGGAGACTGCTGTTGTGTGTGTTGTTTTTAAAAGTGAACTAAATAGGTGAAGACTGGAAGACGCTTCTGTGAGATTTTCATTGGTATAAAATTGGCTGTAGACTTTGACACCTTTTCATTAAGACCTGGGTGCAAACATTGTTTTATAGAGAGGAACCAGAAGGCAGTGGGAAAGGAGAAACCTGCGTAGTTGATGTGTTCATTAAAATGAATAGCAGGAGCCTCTTTTCCTTGGCCTAGCCTCTGTTGAGGCTGCTGCCTGACTTGCCCCTTAGTGTGGCAGGTGGGACAGGAAGGCTTTGGGCGTGGGGTGCTCTTGAGCCTCACTGAGGGCTGTCGTGTTTCCCACGGGTGGCAAGCCTCATTGGACTTCCTTGTCTGTCCTCGTCTTGAGGTGAAAGTGCTGCCACCAGGGACCCTTGGAGGTTCCCCGGGCAGCTGGGGAGCTGAGGAGCAGGTGAGTATTCACTCAGGTTTTCAGGAGCATTGCTCCTGTTCCTCCTGGCTCCAGGGCTGGGCTGTAGTGAGCCAGGCACAGAGGTGAAGACAGCTTTGCACAGCTTTTAGAATGTGAGTAACATTGTGTGTCCACTTTCCTGAAAAAACAAGAGGCTTGTGTGATATTTCACTTGGGGCCAACCTTTGTTAACCTCGCCTCTGTTCCCCTGCCCAAGTTCACCCACTCTTGTTAAGGATCACTGGGGAAGTTGAAGAATCGTCTCAGTTTCTGCCACTTCGAGCTGACTTTGAGTTGAGTCAAACACTTTAGACCATGGGAAAGGAGCGATTTGCCCTGCAGTTCCACTGAAAGAGGTAGGAGAGGCATTGCAGCCATCATCCAGCAGGTGCCTCATACCTGTGATGTCACCAGACAGTGGGGGGTGCAGGGGAAGATGGGGGTTGGGGGCTTCTGTCTCCCTGGGGAGGAGGAAGAACAGCTGGAGTTTCCAGAAAGGTCTGGTCATCCCGAGGACAGTGGTGACCCTCATCGACCTGGAAGTGCACTGCAGGTGTGTTTGAACCCCCACAGTTGGCCTGCACTCTCGGCGGGGCTGGACTGTGCCGACACCGAGCAGGGCCATGCCACCGATTCCATCCAGCACCCTGGCCTTGGGCAAGCACAGGCTCCAGAGCTCCTGGTCCTGACTCAGAGCATGGATAGCGCCTCCTGCCTGGGTGCCTTCCCATCCGCCCGCACACAGATTGATCCGGTGGCTGCGATTTGTCATTTCTCCGAGGCAGGCGCTGTATTCTCTTGCTTCAAGGGGCCCCTTCGACACCTGCTTTATTTTTCTTCCTGCGCTGACGTGACGGGAGACAGGTGTTAAACTACTTAATCACTTTAAAATTGTTTTAATTTTCTGTTTTTTATTGATCTCTCCAGCACCAATTAATCAGCTCACTGGACCAGGCAGTTAGTACATTAAAAATTGTCAGGGAGGCTGTGCATCTTGCAAAATGTCTAAAAAAATATTCAGCTAGAAAATTTTGTGGATTTTTTGTTTATTTGGTTTTTGGCACACAACAGTCGTTGGCCCGAAGAAGTCCCACTTGAAAAAAGGTTCTCCTTGTGGGACTCCTGAGTCAGATGTGTTTGGGGCAGGAGGAGCTCTGTCCAGGGCCTTCCTATGGGGACCGCTGGGAACAGGTACCCTTTCCTCATGCATTCGACACCTTCTTTCCACTTGTGTGTTTTTTGTTGAGGAGCTCTGGGTCTGCTTTTGCCCCAGGCCTTGGGATGTTTTTCTGGAAGGGAGCACCTGCCTTGACTCCGACAGGGCAGGACTGGTCCTTGCTATCAGGCAGATAGCCTGGAACATCACTTTCATCTTGTATTTCCAACAGTGTCAAAGCCACCTCCCCTGCACTTGGCAAAGTCTACCTGTTGGCTGGCAGCTGCTGTCACCCCAGTGATAAGCCTGAAGCCCCTTCCATGGAATGTTCCAGCCAGACAACCACACCATCAACATTGCTGTCCTGTGCTGCAGCCCTACCCACTGTCTCTTATCACCCCTTGCAAATGAGTTAACTGCTTGGCTGTACTTTCCGAATTAAATAAAGCACAGATGAAATAACCAGTGGTTTTGGTCACTTCTGAGCTTTTTCCACTCTAGTCCTGTTTCTGATCACTTTCCAAGGGCAAGTCCCTTAATGGTTCCGGGACGAGTTAGCTATCATTAGCCTGTCTTCGTGGCCTGGGCTGCCCCTCCCAATGGGTACTGTCCCCCAGAGCATCTTTCACCCACTTCCCCTTCTTCCTGCCACCCAGTTTCCAGTGTGCATCGTGGGAGTGACTTTCATCCCCTTCCCCAAGCCTCACTGGTCACACAGGGGCCCCCAGACACCCAGCCCCTTCTGGGAAGGCTGGGGCTTAAGCCCCCATTGTGGGAAAGCTGGAGAGGTTCACCCCCCAGAGCAGGCGCAGTGATCCCTGCGTTCTGGCCACCAGGACTTATCTCCCTGCTGGCCCCACCCACCCTATATTAATTGGTATATGATTGGCCTGGAACATATAATCTAGTATTGATTTTCTCTCTGGACGCCACAGCTTTATTTGCTCACATCTGCCTTGTGTTTAATTGGTGCTTTGCTCTGGAAATGAGTGATCTTATCGCCCTGTTTGGTTTCTTTTCCCGGGCACATAGGCACGAACACACCCCAACACCCTCAAGCTGGCTGGCCCAGCCCTGCCTCTCCCTGCCTCTCCCACCTTGAGGCATTCCTGGGGCACACAGAAGGGCTTTCCGTACACTTGACCTCATGGGCTGGGGCTGATCCTTCCTGCTGTGAACTTGTGTGTGTATGTGTGTGGGGTTCTGGCTTTGGATTCAGACCTGGGTTCAGATCTACCTCCTATCTGTGTAGACCCCTGAGGCTGCTGACTGTGCTTTTCTGCTGTGATGTCTCACCTACTTTATAGGTTTTTTCAAGACTGTCGGTCACCACACAATGGCTGGCACTTCGCAGGTGCTCAGTGAGCAGCTGCGGCTTTGGCAGCAACTTCCCATTCAGCTTGTGCAGCTGTGTAGTATGCTGCTGGCTGGCTCAGAGGTAGGAAAGGAGGCACCTCCTATCGGCTGTCCCTGTTGGTCCAGGCCAGCCAGGGAGCGAGTCTTCCTGGGGCCCAGTCCAAGGAGAATCTCTGACCCCTAGGCACAGCTTGCCTGAGGCTGGGGGCTTCTGTCCTCTCCCCACAATTGGCAGCTGACTCTCAGCAAGGCTTCCCTGTCACCTGCCCTCCTGGGCCACATACCCCCACTGGCTCCTATGTTCTGGGTTTTCTCCTCCCTTCTGACTGTAGTCCAGCCCACCTTGGGCTTTTTGTAGTAAAAGGAAGATGTCAAGGCCAGAGGTAAACACTAATTTCCTATTGACACAACATTAATTCTCTCACCAGGACAGGTGAATGTGCTTTGCTCACTTTGCCAAGATTAATGATGTTTGTTTGCTGCTAAGAGAGGCCTAATGAGGGACTGTTGAACACCAGCCTCTGGCTTGACTGTGGGGAGAGAGGCTGGCAAAGGGCTGCACATAGGAGACAAAGCAGGCTCTGCCACCACTGCCAAGGTCGTTGCTTTTACTAAGGCTGGCATCTGCCCCTCCGTGAGAACAGGAGAAAGAAGTACTGGCTGAGGGTGATGAGCTGCTGCGTCCTGCCTGAGGAGTCACCATTCACAAAAGGACCTTCCCAACAGACCTGCAGAGGAGCCTGGGAGTCGGCTCACCTCCACTGCTTGTCATCTGGAGCTCCTCTCTGCACACCCAAGTTCATTGTTGGGTGGACTCAAGGGTGGGAAATAGATTGGAGGGGCCAGGTCAGGGACTCTGAGGTGGGGCAGCTTGGCAGAGAGGCACTGGGACAGGCAGGAGAGTCCCAGGCCATGAGTGGTTGAGCAATAACTGTCTATATAGGCTCAGCACAGCTTGAACAGCACAAGAGGTGCCGGCAGCCTGGTCCTTCTCAGCAGAGTGGCACTGGCAGGTCAGCATATGTGTCTCCCAGAGGCCCATGTGCTGAATGCAAGCTTGGTCCAAGCCTGTGGCCCTATTGGAAGAAGATGAGAACTTTAAAGGTGGGGCCTCCTAGGAGGGTTAGGTCTTTAGGGCTGTGCCCTCAAAGGAGACAGGAGAGCCCTGGCCTCGCCCCTATCCTTGGTTTCTCAATACCGTGAGATGGCGGCTTCCTCCACCATGTGATTCTGCCATGTTGAGCGGCCTCACCACAGGACCAAGAGTACCAGGGCCAACTGACCATGGACTGATGACTCTAAAACCACAAGCCAAAATAAACTTTTTCCATTTTTAATTTTATTGTCTCAGGTATTTTATTACAGCAACAGAAAGCTGACTCACACAAGAGGTTACAGGGGTGGGGCTCCTGCAGCCCAAGGCTCTCTAGAATCTGTGGGCTGTGAGGCCTCATGAAGATTTTCTCACAGGTTTGGGCAACCCAGGCCATCTCCAGGGAGCAGCCAGTGTCACAGACCTCCGGAGGAGCAGAAACATCCATCTCCAGCCA